TTTGTTATTTCTTAAGAAAAGGGCTAAGATTAATTTTATTGCTTTGACACATAGGGTTCTAAATAATAGCAGGCAGGAGGGATGGCTAGGAACACTGTCTGTGTGTTATAAAGACATGCCTAAATTCCACATCATAAAGGAGCCAGCACCAACATCCTTACCATCTGCGCATACGAACACATTGTTAATGGTCCATTTGTTCTGTTAACCCCACTCCCTGCCTTAATGTTCCTCGTGAATACAAGGTTGATACCAGCAGAAACCAACATGACTCAGTGATTGAGAAAGTGCCAGAACCCAAACATCTCAGAGTGAGTTATGAGTGCAAAGGTTGACCCTGAGAGATGATGGTAGACATGTCAAGTACTGAAAATGTGCCTGTCCACATGACCAGTGGTCAAAGGGCAGGACTGAACTCTAGAATGAGTAACAGCCTCCACCCTCCCCCCCCCCCATATAATGTGCTACCTGTATAAGATGTAAGGCAGATCTCTAGCATAGTAATCTCTTGTCTCAGTTTGCTGACAGTCTCTGTTCTTTGGCTTCTGTAAGTGACAGGTAACACGGCTTGAATCCCAGTTCCAGAAACACCACCCAAACACTGTTTCCCAGATCTTGTTGTTTCAGAGGCAGAATTCCTTCTCAAAAATCATTCAGGGGAACACTGTCCATTTTTTTCTCTGAAACGTATACATGTGTACACACACACACACACACACACACACACACACACACACACAGGCAAAGTAGCACACCCTCCCACCCTTTCCTCTTTATTTCAAGCCGGTAAGACAAGGTTCTGGTCCATCTGGGTTTAACCGAGTTTCCCTGCTTTTCTTGGCAGAAGAGCAGAGGGCTGTGCATAGTGTCGTGTTGATGCTGGTGGGAAAGACAATAGTCCAACTCGCCATTTCCCTTGAGAGCTCCCCACTCCTGCTCACTGCAATGGACCCAAGAAGCTAGATTCAAAATGGCAAACTTGGAACTTGAAATCATGAAAATCATCAAAGACAACCTCACCAGCATCACACTTCTCAAACCACCTGAACGAAAGCGAGCATGACCAAAGGAAGAAAGGAAAGAATATGCAAACGACTACTCAATCTAGGCCAAAGTGGAGGCCCACTGTGGTTTTTTTTTTTTTTTTTTAACTTTTTTCAAAGTTAATTTTCTCTGTCAGATTCACACAAGTGCTCGTGACTCTAAGGGCCACTTGTTTGACCTATGATAAGTATTGTCAAATCTATAGTCTAATTGGTTTACTACTGCTTTACTAGATAGCACTGAATGGGGAACAGCTCTTTCAAATGGAGTTGACACCCCAGACTGTGTGTACTCACTTATTTTAGCAAAAGCGAGCATTTGGGCCTGGAAGTAGACCCCAGTGATCAAGCACTTGCCTAGAGTGAGTGAGGCCGTGCATCTGATGCCCCATAGGAAAGGTAGACGCTTTTACACATGGAAATATTTCTAGCATTACTTCTTCTTAATTCTTTTGTTTTCCACAGATGTGCTTATAGATGAGCAGAGTGTTAGAAGTCTAAAGCCTGTTATTTGGAGGGTGAACAACATATTGGGAAATGCACAGTTAGCTCAGTGCAAATACCACATAGTGGAAAAATAAGTGATTTCTAGAGTCCCATGTGCCCTATTTTTGCACTGTGAAAAATTTTAAACACAATGCCTTTTCTGTTTACTGACTATCGGCTCCTAACTAAAAGGATCTGGACTACAGACTGTAGATAGGGTGAGAAGGTCTGAGGAGTTTTACCACTGCCTTCTTTCTCATGGTATGGGTGGGACTGGGTTACTATTAGTATGTGTGGTGATAACCTTTGAGAGATGCTTCATAACGAATGCCATCCGTTACTGAGACCAATACTAAAGCCTTGGTTTCCCTTTCTTAAACATATATAACCACAACCCTAAGAACATCACAAGACTACACAACAAGTAGCTCATGTTATGTCAGTGGTCAGAGACCTTTGCTTTTGTCTGAGCTGAGGTGAGGATGACACATAGTTGATATGTGACAGCCTGCCTTGGTTCTCAGAGCCCTCAGACACCTCTCTATTCCTGTTGACCAGCTAATCCCAGGCTGAAGTACCCATACTTTTCGACTGAGTGATGTTCCCAGCCAGTGAAGACCTGGGAACGGGAATGATCTCATAGATTGTTTTTTTTTTGTGTCTTATTTTTTACTGATATGAATTAAACCAGTCTGCTATCTGGACCTCCTGCCAAATCTTGGCTTTGAAGCACATAGCAGCCTGGGTACCAATTCTCACATCTCTGCCATTTGTCACAACATTGGGATGGAGGGCCAATGACTTACCTTCCTAGACTCTCCTTCTTGTGTGACATACAGAGGTGATAGGAACATGAGCCCCAGGGTGGAAACTGCAATGACACATGAGCCATGTGCACATTTGGAATCTACACTGGAAAGTTTCCATTGCTTTGCTCATGCCCATTTCACCTTACATTAGGCTATTATAATAGTTATTAATTATATTTAGTTGGTATAAAACAGGACTTATTAAGATATTTTAACATATATATGTATATGTGTGTGTGTACAGAATTGTTTTTTAATGTAGATTACTTTTTCAAATAAAGTTTTTTTTCTTCAAATTGAATGGTATAGTCTTTAATTCCTAAATTAAGATTATTTCAGATAAAATTATATCTACAGCTTTTTAAATTAATCCCCCTCGTGTATTTAAATTTTAACAGATACTGGTATATTTTTAATAATTTATTTAGTTTTATGTGCATTGGTGTGAGTGTGTCAGATCTCCTGGAACTTGAGGTATAGACAACTGTGAGATGCCATGTGGGCATTGAGCATTGAACCTGGGTCCTCTGGAAGAACAGTCAGTGCTCTTAACCGCTGAGCCATCTCAGGTACTGGTACATTTTTAAGTGGTTTGTTATACAGTTAGAATTGGCAAATACTTGGAAGCTTTTGTCTTTGGCTTTTTGGGTTTGTCTTGTTTGTTGCTGGGTTTTTTTGTTGTTGGTTTTTTCCCCCCCTATGAAGAAGAAACGGTTAAGCTCTGTCTCCTTCTTGTCTGTGCTGCAGCCTCCTGGCTTTTCAATTTCATAGCAAGAAGCTGTAGACAATGGGCCCAGCAGGCAGAGTACTTGCTATTCAAGTGGGAAGATGGAAGCACATCCCCAGCACCACTGTAAATGCAAAGAGGGTGTGGTAACTTCATGCACATCAGTGTCCGGTGCTCAGGAGGCAGAGACCGCACCGGCTGGCCACACCAGCCTATGCATGTGAGGGACCCTGCTCAGTAGAAGGTGGGGGCAACGGAGAAAACACTCAGCATCCATCTCAGGTCTCTACACACTGGCACACATATGTGTGTGTACATGTACTCACCACACACCACACGTGCCTCTACACAAATGCACACCACACAAATACACACACAATAAAAAGGGGAACCATATATGTAATGCGAAAAAGTAGGCATATGGTGTTCCAATAAAAATTTATTCATGGGTGCGCCAATCTGAACTTCATATACTTCACATATGACACAAAATAGTCTTTTGCCTTTTTTCTAAGCATTTAAAATGTAAAAACACTTTGGCTGCACCAAAACAGAAAGAGTAACTTTGGACCGTGGGCTACCAGTTACCAACCATCACCGCACGGGGCTAAGGACATGGAAACAAGGCATCGTCATGGCATCCATCATTCTGTGTATGAAAAATACACCTTTAAAAAGCCATGGAAAGGTGTGTGGATACATTGAATTCAGAGAGTCATAAAACTTATTTGAAAACACACATTAGGAATCCAGTTTAATACATATTAGTATACAACAGAATTCTGTTACTGTTATGCCTCATCTGAACAATTTAATTTTCTTGATTTGGAAAATAACTTCCTAGAAAAGAAAAGGCAAGGGTATGGTGAGTTCAAAGCCTGCTCAGCTATGTGAACCACTCCAGCCAGCTGCATTGCTGTGGGACTCTGTCAATTGAAAAAGAAAGGAAAAATATCCTACTTAGGTAATAACTCCATGACATTATTTAGTGGTAAGATTTAAGGAGTCTTACAGGTTCAGTTGACTGTTGGAGTACTTGCCCAGCATTCCCTAGACCCTGAGTCAGTCCCCCACGCAAAAACATTTTACTAAATTTTCTGTAACCTTAGGGAAACCTTTGAGTGAATGATTACTTTGAATAATTTTGGGTTTCTTGAAATTATGAATATTTTAAATAAATCAGATAAAATTATTTTAACTTATCAGTAGATAAATAAACATTCTATTTCAAAGTTTCAAACACAAATTGTTCATATTTTCATTTCTAAAAGGTAGGTAATTTTAAGCTTACTAGATGTTAAAATATTTTCTTATATTTGTAGTACAAGATAAAAGATAAATATAATTTACATATAAATATATATAGATATGTCAGTAAAAATGGCACAGCTGATAATACTCGTAAAGTACATAGGTAAGGTCTTATTGACTCAGTATTTAAACACTGTTATTGCTTTCCATCTACAAGGTGTTCAGAGATAAAACATAAGACATTTTAAAGGAACATATAATGTTAACATGCATTTAAGGAACTCCACATAATTCATAGTTAATTTTAACTAAAACAGACTATTTAAATGGTCATTTCCTTGGAGTTCTGTTTTTAAATTTCTCCTTTATATTGATTCATAATCAATTATGACATAAAATTGACCTCGTTTATTTCTTTAGGAGGCAAGGTCTCATTCTGTAGCCCTGGTTTGCCTGGAACTCACTCCGTAGACTAGGCTGGCCTCGAACTCACAGAGCTCTGCCTGCCTCTGCCTCCCGAGTGCTGGGATTAAAGGCATCAAAACATCAGAGATGGGGTTCTGGGGAGGTCTCTTTGATCTCTGAAAAACTCTTCTCATTGGTGTGAATGTCAAAAAGAAGAGAGAGAGGCAATTAAAAACTGGGGTGAGAATTTCCAGCAATGATATATTAAAATTGGCAGCAAAGTATAAAAACTTCCCATAGTGTTTCCAGAGCAGCAGCATCACTTTCAAAGCTCTCACCACTAGACATCAAAGAAGTTGAATAACATTTTCCTTTCCCTTTGTGCAAAGCATGATATGATCCCTTAAAACGTTTTTGTAATATATGCTCACACCTGAAGAACTGCACTAGTGAAAAAATAACAATTTCACTAAAACGTGAATTTGAAGCCTTTTCATAATTAATCAGTAGTTTTCATTTTAAAAAGAAAATAAAGCAATTTCCTTAGGAAAAAAAACTTCTGCCAATTGGAATATCTTCACCTTGAAAACAAAAACAAAAGGGAGCGGTGAACCTCAGGCCTCAGCATCTGAGCACCCAGGAACTCAGCGAGGATGCAGAGTGGTGCCCTGGGTACCAGTTCTTTTCACAGGCACAGTCAGTTGCTGGGAAGCATTGGTGAGCATCTGTTCCAAGGGCCTGTTTAGTGAGCCTCCCTGCAGTCCAGCAACATCATCCAGTGCCCTCTGCTTCCAACCACATGTCACAGATGTTTCAATTTATATTTAAACTCAATATCATTTAATGGTGGCAAAATCCCCAAGCCTGCCCTGGATTGGTCTAGAGGAGGACACTTGACGTGGCTCTCCACAAGTTTCAGTTCAAAGTGTGAGAGCATCAGAATCAAAAATTGCTTGATTTCTTGGACAGCAAATAGTCTTCCGGGGCATATTGTGGCTCCCGATCCAAATGGCATGTAGAAATACTTTAGTTTGTTTCCATTGCTATAGAAGGAAGTTTTTGCCTTCTTGTTCTCATCAAGGTATCGATCATATTTAAAAGTCTGCAATAAAGAGACAAGAAGCCAATGAGTTATTATGATAGAAATTTGTCTCATTCTTGACCCATAAGATCCAGTGAGTAATTTTCTACTAATAACACCATTCTCTGAAAGTTAGCACACACCCATCACTGAACAAGGTGATACTGGAAAGAGCTTATGAAGAGCTAGTGGACCAAGAAGCCTCTATGTGCCTGGAGACTCATTCTTCAGTTAGTCAAAAGAAGCAAACGGCTCTAAACGGACATTGGAAGTAGCAAGTCAAATACATTACCCTTCATCAGTGTGAATTTGGGAGAAGGTACTTTTTAAGGGGGGTTAGCTTTGCTATGACTGAAAATATAATCTAGCAGAAACTATGAAATGAATAATATTAGGTCTAAAAGTTCAAAACTCTTGCCTCTATCCAAAGTTTCCAAAAACATGAACATTTATTGTAATAAATGAGACGATCTCCATGGCTTCGATGAGTAAATCAAAGCCGTAACTGCAAATCCATTCCTTATTCCTATTCCTTATCCAGGCTGTCACCTGGATACTGAACTTAGATGAGCAGGAACTTACCAGAGGGTCTGGGTAGATGTCAGGATCCAAATGCATTAGCTGTGGATAAAGAGCTATGATATCATCTTTTCGGATGTTATAGGAACCATCCTCAAGGTGCAGAGTGAAATCCTCCTTGGCAGTGCGGATATTCAGGGATGCACTGGAAAGCCTCAGAGCCTCCTTGATGATGCTATCTAAAGAATTCCAAACAAAAGAAGTAAGAGGGGAGGGAAGGAAAGAGGGTGGGGCACAGGAAATGTCAGTCGGGAGAAAATAATTTACATAGTAAAAATATTTCCAAGTTATTTATTTTTATGTTGCTGGGTGTTTTGCCTGCATGTATGCATGGCTGCTGTCTGCAGAGGTCAGAAGGCGGCGTCAGACCCTTTGGAACTGGAGTCATGATGGTTGTGAGCTACCATGTGGGTGCTGCAAGTCAAACCTGGGTCCTCTGAAAAAGCAGCCAGTGCTCTTAACCACTGAGCCATCTCTCCAGCCCTGAATTGTTGCCTTTAAAGGCTACATTCACATAAAGTCTGGAATGCTTCTGACAATCTGTATACAGAATGAACCAATGGCAGATAACAAATGGCAACTGCCCAAAGCTGCTTCTGTCACCACTGTGCTGTTCTTCTAGACTCAGCTGCTCTGAAAGAGACTTTCAATCTGAGCATCTTAGTCATTGCTTCTCAACCTGTGGGGGTGGGGGTGGGGGGAGTAGAATGACCCTTTCACAGGGGACACCTAAGTCCATCAGAAAACACAGATATTTACAATATGCTTCACAACAGTAGCTAAGTTACGGTTGTGAAGTAGCAGTCAAAGTAGTTTTATGGTTGGGGGTGTCACACAACATGAGAAGTGCATTAAAGGGTCACAGCATTAGGGAAGCCGAGAACCACTGATGTAAGTTAATGACATTTTGGATGATATAATGTTCCTCACCATCAATGGGAACTAGATAAACACCTCTCACTTGATAGATTAGTCTTATTTCTGTAGAACACTAAACAGCTAATCCAACTGGAAAAATTAGTGATCAATTTTGTGTGAATGGTTGTTGACCATTTTGGGGATTAAACATACTGATAAGGAGTCTTTCCAAGCATCTCATGAATCTACTGCTCAGTGTTGAGGAAACCCCATTTTCAGCCATGCATTATCTCTCTGATGGTGTGTAACCACACCCTGCTTCTAGGTAAAGTAAAGCAAGATAAACCTCAGAACTGCTGAAGTCTAGGTGAGGTCCAGTCCTGCCTGCCAGCCTCTAGGTGCCAACTGCCGTGTTCCCAGGGTGCAGGCTACAGTGAGTATGTGATGACAAATGCTTAGCCTTTATTTGCAAGTGAGAGAAGGGAGGCGTCCAAAGCAAAGTGACAAGGCCATCTCCCAAATCAGGCAGCGCTGGATCTAGGCTCTTTCACTTCTAATAAGCTAAACGGCCCTCAAAACATATGGGGGCTTCTGTCCTTTATAGAACAGGATGTAAAAAGGCTGTTTTACTATAACACGTGGTACTACTGTATTCTAGAAAATACAGAAACAAGGGAAGAAAAGCCTCAGCCCCAACACACAAGCCAACCATGCTGCTTTGTTCACATTTAATTCTATGCTTCCTCAACCCTGAGATTATGGTTTTGGAGAACTAAAAAAGGAGGCAAAGGACACAGAGCAACTGAGTATCGAATGTTCTATGCTAGGGCTGCCACCATCCCACCCTCTGACCCTGGTGTTATCCCACCCTCTGGGTCTCAGTTCCTTATTTGTTAGGTAAAAATGGAAGCATCCCCAGTTATCAGACTGCTTGGCGTAATATGGAGAATGCAGTACATGATGTGTTGAGCATTGTTACTGGTGACATGTGAATGAGGGGCAGCCTAGAGAGCACACCTAGTACTGGCAGGTCGTTCAGCTGTATTTGATCCAAATAAATGCCATTCCCTTCAGAGCTGAGCTTTTGGCCAGCACTCTGTAATAGTCCGTTCACTTCTTCACAGGCTGCTCTCAATGCTTCAGGGCTCCTATGAAAAGAGATGTATGGAAAATATTTCCTTATTCAGAGAGCTGCAAATGAATAAGAACTCCATTTCTTTAAATGGAGTGATCGTGTTACCAGGGAGTATGCAATGGAAGGGCATTGCCATTTACTTGTCCTGTATTCTGAACTGGATTCATGTCCTTGAACTCACGAAGGGTCATTGCTATGCAAAAGCAAAGCTTTGATCAGATTTCTATAAACCAATGATTCTAAGAAATTGATGTTACAACTCTGCTATAAATATATAGGCAGCAGGAAAACAGGAATATTCAAATTAGTAAGGCGTGGCCTCTGCCCTTACCACATTGGCAAGTCAGCCATCATTTAAAATCATGATGAAGATTGCAGTCATAGATCTGGCTTGACATTAAGAGGAACACTATGGGGCTAAGAGCAAGACTTGGCCAGGGGACCTGTATTGACCAAGTGCCATCAGATTAAGTTCTGTGGCTTCTGAAACATCCCTTTCTGGTGAGACTCTATTCTTACAAAATGCTACTTCTGAGATATATATGTCAAACACAGGCACGGAGTATCACACTCTTGACCAACAGCAAAGAAAGCTCTGCTGGTCTTTTTGGGGTTTTAGTTAAAATTGTAATTTCTGTCACTATGAAGAATAAACACTTAAATTGCTAGTCACCTGATCATTTGAAATAAGCTCCAGAAAGTTGCAGGAATGGTATTTGCCTGAGAGGCCCAGAGGATAGCGAGGTGTGTCTTGGCCTTCTCCGTGTCGTCAAAGGTGGAGAGAGTGTCATTGAGAAACATGCGCAGACGGATCAGTTCGGAGACCTGATCCCTCACAGAGAGGTTCTCATGCTTCAAGCCCTCAGCCAGCTGCTCCCGGGCCTTATGTGCTGTCTTGAACAAGTGAATAGGGAGGCCTGCCACCAACGCCGGGAAGACTTGGTCAAATTGCTTGAAGTTGTCAAGGTTGTTTAGAATAAGCGCTCTTTGTGTGTCCGGCTTTGAAGTATCTCTGCCAAACAGAGTTAGATACCCGGCTTCGAACATCACTCGGTAGCAGAAGGCGTACATCCCCTCAGTGACCCAGACGGCACTCTTTGACTTAGGAAGATCAGGAGGCCTCAGGACAAATTGGAGGTTTTGCATCATGGCTTCGGAAAGAAGAAGCAAAGCATCTCCCTGGAGGGTTTTGGTGAAAGTGTTGTTTATGTTTTCCGTGGTATTTCCATCACTTGGGTCAATGCTTCTGTGTCCAAATGCCTGGTAGAAAATAAAATCCGTCAAAGGTGGAGGAGCTAAACCTGGGTGTGAGGAAATGGCTGGAAGATGGGCTAAATACATACATACATCTCTGTGTAGCCTTTCCGCATACGATTTCACAGCATTTTCCAAAGGCAAACTAAGATATACTCTTCCTTCTAGGTCAAGTTTAAGTCCCAGATTTTCAGGGAAGCCTCTCTGAACTAATGGAACATTGATTTTTATCTTTACCTTTCTTACTTTGCAGATGCCCTTTAACCAGACTTTAATCTACTTACTGACAGAGACCATGTCTAATATTTTCTTATAAAAAAATCAGTGTTATGTTCTTTAGAATAGAGATTCTTGATAACATGTGCATGATTCTTAAATATTCTGCTGACTTCTTAATGAACGAGACATTCGTGTGCATGATGTGGTAATAGATGTGTTGAGTGTTAGTGTGCCAGCACCCTACTCTGAATGCTGTGTAGATGGCAGCTTGGATGTTACAAGTTTGTACTTTCCTATAGTGTCATTTGGCTCAAGAAGCACTTACAAAGTAATTTATGTATGTCATCGTTAATGACAAATTCACATACATCTACTTTGACTTTTTGTTTTGTTTTGTTTTCTCTGTGGCTTTGGAACCTGTCCTGGAATTAGCTCTGTAGACCAGATCAGGCTGACCTCAAACTCACAGAGATCCGCCTGCCTCTGCCTCCCAAGTGCTGGGATTAAAGGCGTTCACCATCTTGACTTTTTAATACTTGGTACCAAGAGACTTCCTGATTTTATGTTCCCTCTATCCTACAATCTGAAAACATTGGATCAATTGAATAAACTAATACATGAACAGGCTAGGAAATGAATCAAATCTGTATAAACTAATTACCTTCGCAGAAGTAGTGTAATGAAATTTTTTCCAATCAAAATATTTTCCATGACATAACACTTTATGGTATGACAAGGAGTTTGTAATGAAGTGGACATATTTCCCCATTAGTTTGCAGGTAAAAACATGACCATGCTTCCTTTGGTTTGCTCTCAGGAACTCAAGAGGATTGGACCCAAATTTCAGAGCACAGCCCAGGTATGGAATCAACCCATTCTCCAAAGGAGGTTCTCCTGCTTTCCTGAGAGACAGATTTGAGAGGTTTATGAAATTACATGTTTAGCATTTGTATGTAAGCCAGATTTTTCCTGGTTTCTACCACTTATTCCAAGCTACATAACTACAGTTTATAGATACTTCTTTTGGTAGGTTCTACACTCTTTTACTAAAACAGTGGGCTTTTTAGCCTACTAAGATATTGGTGAAGATGGTTACTAAATCTACCCACTCATCAACCCATCCACCAGCCCATCTACAGTCTATCCAGCACCATATATACATACATACCTACATACCTCAAGCACCCATTAAATTGTTTACTATGTCTATGTCTGCAACACAAACAATAAAAGCCCAGAGACAGGCATTCACGCTGAAGATCAGAAAAGCAAAGCAGCCAACCACCAGAGAGTTCTCTACCAAGGCTGGAGCGATCCTACCCTCAGCGTGACTGCAGACTGAATACACTGTGCTCCTGTCTCTACCTGCTTTATATTCTTCTCTAGAGCTGGGAATCGTCAAGTACCACAAACCCCCATCCTCTATGGCTAACTGGTGTGGCTGCTGGGATTAAAGATGTGTGCCACCACTGCCTGGCCTCTATAGCTGATTGCTGTGGCTAGCTAAGCACTCTGATCTTCAGGCAAGCTCTATTTTTTAGATCATAAAGCATCACCACATATTTCTGATTGCTTTTCCCAGTGACAGGGCTGAAATTGTTAACAGAGCTATCAAGATTCTTGCTCTCATTGTAGAAATGAAGCTATCATCTAGTGCTTAAACTTGTTCCATGAATCATTTACCCATATGTCTAAAATGTTTCCTTTTTCCTTTTCTTTGAAGATGTGAAACACCAACTAACAGAAAAGGCTACAGGACTCAAGTTTTTGAACTCTACATAGTTTAAAAATATTGGCATTGAGGTATGGCTCAATGGTGGGGCTCTTTCATAGCACACATGAATCTTCTGTTTGATTGCCTACTCTGAAAGGAGATTATTATTTTGTGTTGATATCTGAAGAGAACATGAATCCCATTTGAAAAATTGTTATAAAATGAAATTGAGTGAGGTAAACATTGGCAGATCATTAACTATAATTTATTGGTGTTTAACTCTCTTAAATGTTTTTATTAGAAATTATAAGCTCATTTATTTATTTTCCAACATAAACGAGTGATCTCTTGTTAGAATAACTAAATAGAATTGATTTGTCCTTTCTTAGCATTAAGACAAGCTATTTAATTAAAACTAGAAACTATCAGGCATAAATTCGAATAAATCTGAAGGCAAAGAAGTTCTTAACAGTAAGACAACAGGCACAGTCTACCTTGCTGAAGATACACCAGGGGTATTCCTGTATTTTAATGTTGGTGTAGCAAAAAAACCCCAGAAGAATACGTACATAGCTAGAGCATCTACTCAGTTCTTGTGACAGAAAGAACCCTTCCAAATGTCACCATTGCCAATTGCACCCTTCGCAGCTTAGTTGTGCCCCATACAAGTACACACAAACATGCATCAACACTTACAATATTTTAGTTATGTTTAAAGATCTGCATTACCATTAGTGTATATGAATATTCAAAGGGAAACTCTACATCTTATTAGGTTTAGTCAAAGAAGTATGGCTTTAAATTTTAAATAAAAAAAGCTAATGTACTAGTATTTTTTGAAACTGTATAATGGTGAGGGTAAAGAACACTAAAAATAAGCTAAAAGACAAATTAAAGAAAAATTCTTTCCATACCTTCTCCTTCTGCCAAAGATAACCCATATACAACAGCACACTACCACAGCAATCCCCCAAATCAAAGAGATGGTCATCATTTTTGCAAAGCAGGAAAAACTCCCAAGAGGAGAGTCTGCACTTAGCCAGGTAAGGCTGCCCCTAAATGGCTCAAACTAGACTCTTTATACGCATAGGACCATGATCCAATAACTTGAACTTGGGTGACCAAAGCAAACAACTAACTATTTGTCCTCCTAGTAGAAAAAAGAAAAAAAATAGTATTACCCGGCCTTGAACTAAGTCCATAGTATCAAAAGAGGCTCCAAAACAAGCAGAGCACTTCAATACTCGATAAGCCGAAGATCTGTCCCTTGTGCGCTGACATAACATCCAAACCCAGGGACGGCAGCTAACTTTGTGCTTCGGTGTGTGTAAAAGGCAGAAGTAAACACACTGCAGATGAGCACATCTCTTACAGATGCTGCGCATGATGTAAACCGAAACAGGCAGGAGATTTTTGTCACGATAATGGTTGTTTATGCTGTTACCTTTAGGAGAAATTAATTTAAGTAATTTTCCAGAAATATACAGTATCCAATCCAAAAGATGACAACAGGTGGGACAACTTTCTTGTTTGATTGCTAGTTTTGTTTGCAGCTTCACAGGTGTTTCATGTTGACCATGACGTGTTATTTTGCCATTATCAAAGAGGGAGGGAGGGAGAGAGAGAGAGAGAGAGAGAGAGAGAGAGAGAGAGAGAGTATTTCTCGATACCTCATCTTCCAGGTAGCCATAGCTTATTTTGAGAATACAATCTCTACTGATTGTTACTTATATATAATCAAGATGTATTTTACTTCAAATAAAGTCTAAAACACTTCTTGGTAGAAAAGTAAATACAAAGCCATTATTTACCTCTTATGCCACCTGCACTATGAACTGCTATATATCCTCCCAAACTTTATTCAACATAATATTTTATTCTGTGCTGGAAATTGAAGCCATGGTCCTTCTTCTCCAAGACAAGCACTCTACCACTGAGTTACACCTGAGCTCCTATTTAATGCAATTATTAATTGAGCACTTCTTTTTACATCTCAGAAACTCTTTAAAGATATTCGGTTTCAGGTATTAACAAGATAGGGAGCTTCACTGCTCTCATGAAGATTCTATTCTAGTGGGGGGGCTGGTATTAAAATATGTTATACATGCATAAAATGAGGTATGGAGAGCTATTGAGGGTGAAGGCAGCTTGAGTATATTGACCAGAGCAGGTTTTTTTTGAAGAGAGGATGCTTGAAATAGAACAGCAAAGGAAAACCATTTCCAGAAGAGGGTAAGGGCGGGGTTCCTGAGCAGAGGATGAACTTGATGTGCTAAAAACCGGAATGAAGGTAGCATCTATTAGAGCAAAATGAATAGAGTACCGTTGGGTTAAAATACGAGACAAGAAGATAGGCAAAAGCTGATTCATATAGCAATATTTGGAAGTGGGAGAGGATCTTGAAAGGCAGCAATAGGTCAGTGTACTATAGTGAACATTTGTAAATCATGGGACAGTGTCAAGTTGACAACTGAATGTAAGAGCCTGTGGTTAGGAGAAAAGAGGGCATTGGAGATGTGCATTTCAAGCCATCAGCACTGGATTGACTTAGAGGTCACCTAGAAGAAAGTAAAGCTGGTGCAGTAAATAGAGTATGACACCACAGTGATCAGTATTGGTCAGAGAGGGAAGAAGAAGTAATAAAAGGAAGAAAGATAAAATATACATACATATATGTCTCTAGATACACATACACACACACACATACACACATATGTCATTGCTATTAATATGTGCTTTGATTTCTACTGCATAAAGTTATTCTACAGGACAACTTATGTAACTAATTTCCTATTGGTGATAATTTGTGTCCTTTCTAGCTTTTGCTATGGACTCCATAGTTGACAGTTTTTGCCTCCCTAATAACAGAGCCCAATTTATTATGTGGTTTATGACTATAATCATTAACATTAATTGCTACACAGCAGGATCAATTTTCTCAGAATCCATTGAGACCTCCTAATGCTTTGTGCACATTAATATAGAATATGACATCTTCTTCTCACACGGCTCTTGAGGAGCCTAACCCATAAGCACCCAGTTACCACAGAGTAACTGAAGAAACAACAATCTCATCTCCAAACAAACCAGCTCTCTAGAGTTGCCTGACCCATAAATCACAGCAAACAAAAATAGACAGGAGGAGCTATAGGTGGCCTTAGTACTGTCTTTGCAGCTTCCCACGAGTCTGTAATCCTGTGGAAATAAGGAGGCTTCAAAACAAGAAGGGAAAAGCACTCTCGTAGCCCTTGGAAGCTTCCTGCAGACTGTTCTTCTTTACAGAGAACAGTGCAAACTCTTTCCAGTGCGACGTGGCTGCCATTTATCTGGACATCTCTTTACCCTGCCCTTTTCTGTCTCACTCTCTCACTGGTAACACCTTCCCAGTGTCGAGCACCCAAGCACACATGTGGAGACAGACACATGCGCAGGACTGTGTAGACTTGAAGAGTCAGACTTCAACACTGATCTTTGTTATGCATGGGTTATGGCTTTCCTTATGAGAAGCACAATTGCTATGTATTCACAAACAGCATCTAGCAGAGCTTCTAACCTGGGGCTGAAAATTCTAATGCTGGTTACAGTTGTCAAAACTACTAGTAGACATCAAGGGGACATCTAAACAATTTTCTGCTAAATACAGTGCACAGAATTACATGCCTGGGTTTGATGACATCTTGGTGTGTTCCTAGCCCAGGACTGGCACTCTGCAGTGTTCAATGAATTCTGCCTCAATGCACAACTCTTTTTCTTAATTCCCTGTTTCAAGTGTTAAAACTTTATTAATTCTCTGTCTCCATGCCGCCCCACCTCTCTCTCTCTCTCTCTCTCGCTCTCTCTCTCTCTCTCTCTCTCTCTCTCTCTCTCTCTCTCTCGCTCTCTCTCTCTCTCTCTCTCTCTCACACACACACACACACACACACACACACACAGAGTGGCATCTACTGCTTGCCAGGCCCTGACTTAGCACTGGGAACACAGTGTAAACACAACAGTGGCCCTGACCTATGGAGTTTCTATTGCACCAGTGTAGGCAGGTGCCCTGAAAAGACGGTTATTTTTGTCAGAAGATGTGGCATTCCAAATTGGGTTTATTTTAACTCTAATGCCTCTTTCATATGTCAGTTTCTTCTTCATTTCTATAGAATATTATAGAAGGCCATAAATCCTGCTGTTTGGAAGAACTTGATCTTGGCCTCAGATACTACAAGGCCCAGTACCCCATCATCACAAACAAAAACGAGCAAAACAGGGTGAAGATGGCTCAGAAGTTAAGAGCCCTTGCAGACGATTCCCTTTTGGTTCCTAGCACCCACACAGGGAAGCTTCCAACTGCCTGTAAAGTAACTGTAGCCAGGAAATCTGATGCCCTCTTATGGTCTCTGTGGATACTTGCACACCAGTGGTGCATACAGATTAATGCAGGAACACACAAACGCACATATGCATAAAAAGAGAAATCTATAAAAATAAATCAACAAAACATGGGAACTTAGACCAGAAGAGTAGGAATGAAAAGGAGACACTGGAGCTGTCAGCATGTAAATGCTGATGGCACATTTAATTGGTCTGCCTATAGAAATACACTAGCGGAGCTGGGGGGGGGGGCGGGGAGGGTAGAGCTCGGTGGTAGCAAAGCTTTCCTGGAATATGTGAGTCCCTAAGTTCAACTCCCAGAGCTGAAGAAAAGGAGGACTGCAATAAAGACCAAACAAAGCAAGTTGATTGCTACAAATGAAGTCAATTGTCAAACTAAGTCACAAGTCTTCTGGTGACTAATTGCCTTTCTGAGCTCACAAATCATTATGAAGGAGCACAGCTGAACTAAATTAAGGTGATTCTTTGCCTTTTCCAGGTCTTTACAATCAAAACTCCATGAAGTACCTATCTCAGAGCCAGTTAGCACAAGGGTATGCTAGAACTGGGCAGTAAATCATCCTTCGACTACTTCAGGCTTTCCTAATAAGTTCTTGGGAACTAAATGAAGCTATAGAAAAGAACTACCTGCATCATGACAAAATAGATTGATTCTCAAGACAGTTTTAACTAGGAAAGGTAGCCCATGGCTGTGAACTCAGCACTTGAGATACTGAAGCAGGACGATTACCTTGACTTCAAGGACAGCCTGGATACATAGTCAGTAATCAAGCAGGACTATATAGCAAAAATCTGTCTGGGGAAAAAAAAACACACATGTAATTTTAAAACCTGAAGTCCTAGATTTAGAGCTATAAGTACCTAGTAAAACTCGGATCCACAAACTTATGTGTAAGTCCTTGGCAACTTCTCAATTTAAGGGTAGTAAAGGCCACCTTATTACAGAGGGAAAGTGGGACATGCCACCATCTAGCTATGTACTAACTAGTTCCTATTTCATGAGTTTTGTTCTCATTAACTTACCCTTTGTGAAAGATACTTCTTAGATGGCGGAAATACAGAGATGAATACACACAAGGAGCCTCTCCTCCCCATGGGGATTCAGCTAATCAAAAGTTAGGAGAGACACTGCTTAGCTTCTGGCATTATTTCTATTATTAGGAAAGGTTAAGCCAATGCATTAGTATTTTGTGCCAAGCCCTTCACTGTCTTGCTCTCCTTACCCACATGACAGTGTTGTGAGATGAACACTGAACACTGTTATCTCTATGTGCAGATGACCTGATTCTGTAAGGCTTTGGCTCCAAGCCTGAGTCAGTCTTGGCTATACTATGCTGCATCCAGGGAAAACTGTATTGCCCAAGCTACTGGAAATCAAGGATAAGTCTTTGCTTTTGTGATAATTCACATCCCAATCTCAGCCTAGTCTATGAAGCTCAACTGTGCCATCCGTTGACAGAACCAATTTGGCATCATGGGGCCGGGGGGCAGGGCAGAGAGAGACAGACACAGAAATGGAGAGAGACACATACAGAGACACAGAGATGGAGAAACAGAGAGACTGAGACAGAGACATGGAGAGAGATACAGAGATGGAAAGAAACTGAGACAGACATGGAGACACAGAGATAGAGAGACAGAGACACAGAGATGGCTTGACACACAGAAACAGAAAGAGAAAGACACTCAAAAAGAAACAAAGAC